GTAGATGTCCAATTTTCCCAGCACCATTTATTAAAGAGGCTGTCTTTACTCCACTGTATGCACTTGCCACCTCTGTCAAATATTAATTGAGCATATTGCCATAGGTCCATTTCTGGGTTCCCGGTTCTGTTCCACTGGTCTATATGTCTGTTCTTCTGCAAGTACCAGGCTGTTTTGATTACCGTGGCTTTGTAGTATAACCCGCAGTATGGTAATGTGATCCCTCCAACTTTGTTCTTCTTTCTCAGGATTGCTGTGGCTATTTGAGGTCTCTTTTGGTTCCATATGAACTTTTGAAGTATTTGTTCTAGTTCTGTGAGACTTGTCGTTGGTATTTTGATGGGGATTGTATTGAATATATAGATTGAATTGGGTAGTACAGACATTTTAATGATGTTAATTCTTCCAATCTATGAACAAGGTATGTTCTTCCACTTCTTTATATCTTCCTCAATTTCTTTTTTCAATGACCTGTAGTTTTCTGCGAATAGGTCCTTTATTTCTTTGGTTAAGTTTATTCCTAAGTATCTTAATTTTTTTGCCGTGATGGTAAATGAGATTATTTTTTAGTTTCTCTTTCTGTGATTTCATCATTCATTTATAGGAATGCCATCAATTTCTTGACATTAATTTTGTATCCTGCTACTTTGCCAAATTCATTAAGTCTAGTAAATTTTTTATGGAATCTTTGAGGTTTTCTACATATAGTATCATGTCATCTGCAAATAATGACAATTTCACTTTCTCCTTTACAATTTGGATCCCTTTTATTGTTTCTTCCTGTCAGACTGTTCTGGTTAAGACTTCCAGTACTATGTTAAATAACAGTAGCAGAAGTGGGCATCCTTATCTTGTTCCTGTTCTTAAGAGAAATGCTTTTAATTTTTACCTATTGAGTATGATGTTGCCTGTAGGTCTTTCATATATGGCCTTTATTATGTCCTGATATGATCCCTCTATTCCCAGATTGCTGAAGGTTTTTATCAGAAATGGGTGCTGGATTTTGTCGAATGTTTTTCAGCGTCTATTGATATGATCATGTGGTTTTTATCTTTCATTTGGTTTATGTGGTGTATTACATTTATTAATTTGCAAATATTGTACCAGCCTTGCATCCCTGGGATGAATCCCACTTGGTCATGGTGAGTAATTTTTTTTTTTTTTTTTTTATGTATTGCTAGATTCAACTTGCTAGTATTTTGTTCAGGATTTTGCGTCTATGTTCATCAGGAATATTGGCCTGTAGTTTTCTTTCTTTGTAGTGTCTTTTTCTGTTTTTGGATTAGAATTATGCTGGCCTTATAAAACTAGTTTGAATATCTTCCTTGTTTTTTAATTTTTTTAAACAGTTTGAGAAGAATGGGTGTTAGTTCTTCTTTGAATGTTTGGTAAAATTCCCCCGTGAAGCCGTCCGGGCCTGGGCTTTTGTTTGCTGGGAGTGTCTTGATTACATCTTCAATTTCTTTTGTTGTTATTGGTCTGTTCAAGTTTTCTATCTCTTCCCAGTTCAGTTATTGGAGACTATGTGTTTTTGAAAATTTGTCCATTTCACTTAGATTGTTGAATTTGTTGCTGTATAATTGTGTATAATATTTGTTCACAATCCTTTATATTTCTGTGGTGTCAGTTATTATTTTTCCTCCTATCTTTCTGATTTTGTGTATTTTGGTTCTCTCTCATTGTTTCTTGGTGAGTCTAGCTAAGGGTCCATCAATCTTTATCTTTTCAAAGAACCAGCTCTTTGTTTCATTGATCTTTTGAATTGTTTTTTTGGTCTCCATGTCATTTAGTTCTGCTGTGTCATGCTTTCTTATCTATTCAATTACTCTGTGTCTCTTTTTATCAGAGCATTCAATTCATTTACATTTAAGTTGATTATAGATATGTCCTTATTTATTGCCATTTTTATTTAGTGTGGTTATATTATTCTTCCTATTTCTCCTATTAATTACAGCAGTCCTTTTAACATTTCTTGCAGTGCTGGTTTGGTGTTAATGTATTCTGTTAGCCTTTTTTTGTCTGGAAAGATCTTTATTTTACTGTCTATTTTGAATAATAGCCTGCTGGGTAGAGTACTCTTGGATTCAGATCCTTGTTTTTCATGACCTTGATTACTTCGTGCCATTCCCTTCTGGCCTGTAGTGTTTCTGTTGAGAAGTCTGCTGATAGCCTTTTGGGGATCCCATTGTAGGTTATATGATGCTTTTATCTTGCTGCTTTTAAGATTCTATGTCTTTAATTCTTTGGCATTTTAATTACTATGTGTCTTGGTATGTGCCTATTTGGGTTGTTCTTAGTTGGGGCTTTCTGTGCTTCTTGAAATTGAATGCCTTCTTCCTTCACCAAATTAGAAAAGTTTTCTGTCACTATTTCTTTGAATATATTCTCTAATCCTTGCTCATTTTCTCCGTCTTTGGGGACTAGTATGATGTGAATATTATTCCGTTTCCAGTTTTCCCACAGTTCTCTTAAGCTGTCTTTCTGTTTTTTAATTGTGTTTTTCCTTTTGGTTTCTGATTGGTTGATTTTTTTCTATTTTGTCTTCTAATTCACTTACCTGGTCCTCGGCTTCCTCTACTCTACTGTTTAGACGTTCCAATGTGTTCTTTATTTCTGCTATGTCATTCTTCATTTCTATTTGGTGGTTTATAATTTCCAATTGATTGATTTTAAAGATTTCTATGTCTTTACTCAGGGTATTGATGTCCTTACTCATGCTGTTGAGCTTCCTTAAGATCATGTCTCTGAATTTTAGCTCTGTTAACTTGCTTAACTACACCTCATTTATCTCATCTTCAGTTGAGGTCTCCTGTTCTTTCATTTGGCATTTCTTTGTTTTACCATTTCAGCTATCTCAGTGGGCTTTGGAGCCTGCCAAATTTTCCCTGTGGGTGTTGGTGTTCTGCTGTTTGTGGCTCCCTCTACTGGGTTTGGGTGAGTGTGGGAGGACTCACGTTAAACACCACTGTCAAGTCTTTTCTTAGGTAATATTTCAAGCCCAGGAATGGTTCAGTTATCCTATAGTTTTTTGCCTGGAGGCTATCAGTCATGGTTACTTAAAGAGCCTTGGGTTCTCAGTTGAATGAAAACCTCCCACAGGTGTTCAAGGTAAGGGGATTTCCCAAGTGGAGTAGATGCTGGTTGTTAATGAGTCTCAATTTTCATTTCACTGGCCCACCAGGTGGGGTTGAATCTCAGAGGGAGGGGCCGTCATCTCTCCAGAGAGCCCTGGGAAGGAGTAAGGTGGCCACCGTCCTGTGTGGCCATAACTCAGCAAAAGCTCTGAGTGCTCTCCAAATCCCAAGTGTCCCCACACAGTTCCAGTCCAGTCCACCCTCCCTCTGCTGTAGACCAAGTTAAGTGGCTGTGGCTATTTTAGTGCTCTGTCCCTGCTCTCTGCGCTGTGGAGCCGCTTGGGTGTGTTACCCTGAGGGCACCGCTCCCAGCTAAGACTGCTGCTGTCCGTGGGCTCCCAGCCCCCCTCTCATGCCTCTACATTCCTACCCGGATTGATTCAGTGTCCCTGGTTACATGGTCCTCACAAGATGCTTGTCTGTTGCTTTTCCCTGATGATTTGTCTTTATTTTAGTTGTAATTCCAGCTTGGTCCTGGGAGATGGTTTGTGTAGCTTCCATTCACTTCACTGCCATTTTGGAATCTCCCTTTCCCTCTACTTTATACTCCAGAGGTAGAAAACCATTTTTGGGTCCCACAACAGGCCAGGCTGTGCCACCTCTGGGCCTCTGCTAATACTGTTCATCATGCCTGAACCACCTATCTATCACTGCTCTTTCAAAATACTGGTTCAAAAGTCATCTTCACTTGGAGCCCCACTCTAAAATAATGAGTTACTTGATCTGGATCTGCTGTGCTCCCTTAAACTTTAGACAATGCATCTAGTGTTGCAACTTCACAAGATATATGTGACCTACAGGGTTATATGTATAGCTAGCTCCTTACCTAGAGCTTTGGGTGCCATAAGAGCAGTGTCCCTATCTACCTGTCACTGTGTCCCAGTACAAAGCACATGTCCTGATCCCTGGCTAGCCTTCATTAACTGGTGGGTGGATAGGTATGGTTCCTCCTTCTATAATATTACAACCTAATAGGGAAGATTAGCAGAAAAGGCAACTCTAATACAAGGCCACATACAATACAATGAACAGTTATCTACTGTAAGATACAGTGCCCTGGCTTCTCCAGTCAATGAGTAATAAAACACACATCAAGTTAAAAGTGATAGCTAAGACCCAAATTCTCATAAACAGGTATTTATTGAGAAGAACATCAATTGCCCCAAGACTTTTTTGGTTCACAGTATCTTAATATTTTGTACCTTATACCTGCTTTCTTAAACTTTTTCTTCCTTTGTGTTTGCTAAAAGTAGTTATTTAGAAAAAAAAGCACAAATTTCTTCTTTTGTGATGGATGCAAAAGAAAGTAGAATAAAATTCAGCTTTGAGCCCTGCAGGGGTGCAAAAAGAACAACTTCTGGGAGGTGCAGAGTAGAAGACCCTCCTAGAAGGATAAGGATGTGTGGGCTAGATTAGAGTTACTGAGATTGACACCAAAGTCATCAACTCAATTGCCCCTAGATGTCTTAATTCACATAAATCCCTATCATTCTTTGGATGATACCAACACTAATGATTATTCTTCGCCTACTAATCATTAAATGAAACTTCTTACAGGAGTTGTCAAACCAAGCACTTTTGCCTTATTTTTACATATACAGAAACTAAAACAGTAAGGCAAAACAGTTTGGCTCCAGTGACAGGAGCTCTGACTAACCTGTGCTCCTCTGTTATACCAGATGGCATCTGTTATGCACAGAAGCCCACACTCTTCTCAAAAGCAGTTATCAGAAAGGAGTTGTTTACATCTCCCAGAAACAAACAAGAGCCCCATCAGCTGTCAAACATGTTCTGACAGGAGTATGGTTTGTCATTCCTTTCACACTCTACTCCAGCTTTCCACAGAATCACTACAACCTGCCGTACCTTTCTCCAGGCCTTTAGAGGTGCCAAATGTGGAAGATGGAGGAGCAGGAGAAAAAGTCAGCTGGCCCACTTTGGAAGGCTGGCTGGAATCCTTCATGCAGTTAACCACATTTTCAGAAAGCTAAGAGAGAAATTGAAGGATGGGAAAAGTTATATCATAGAAACCTCTGGAAAGGAAGACTACCCTTCTTTATCCATGCCCCAAAGTGACCAATAAAACCACTTCCTTAAGACCAACTCCAAAAATATAATTCCATTCTATACTGCAGGCCGACACTCTAACCGCTGAGCCAACCTGGCCAGGGCTATAATTCCATTCTAAAACCTCTCATAATGGCTCAGTACTATCAGATTAATGCTAAATCCCTGTCGAGATTCCAGACCCACCACAGCAGGCCCCCTGCTGGCTCTTTAGCTTCGTCTTTTGCTGCTCTCTGCCTGCACCCTGTACTCAGTAGAACCCAAGTTCTCACTTTTTTCACTCCCTCTGAATTTATTATGCTGTTCTTCTACCAAGAACCACCAGCAGCCTCCAACCCCTGGCACACCTCCACTTGCCCAAATCTTACCTTTCCTTTAAGGGTATTTCAGTGTCCCTTCTTCTGTGAGATCTTCACTGATAGCACCCAAATGAAGTAGCATTTCTCCCCTTCCTTAACCCTCCCATTGGAACTCATGTATGCCCCTCAGGAGTATACCACACATCCTTACCTGCCTCATCCTAATGGTGTGTAAATACCTTGAGGGCTGGGGCTTCCACTTATTCACCACTGTATACCCCCCAGTGTCACACATACTCATTTCACCTTAGTTGCCTCTAATGAAGACTGGATAACTAAAACTTTCATTCATTTTAGAGACAGTAAAATAGGCATGAGGATGTCATAAAACAGTTTACTGAAATGAAATAGCAAGCTAAGGGTAAATCAAGAATAAAAACCCTTAAGCATTCATGTCAGTAAATATTTACTAAGTGCCTAATAAAGCACAGTTGAGGGGAAAATGTAAAAATGACTTTAAGAAAAAAAGCCACAATCGGTAACTCCACTTCCAGGTATCTAGCCAAGAAAATTGCTCCCACATGTACACAGCATTGGAATAGTAAAAAAGAAAACAACATAAATACGCAACAATAGGGAACTGATTAAAGAAATTATAGTGTACACCTTCTATGAAATATTATGAAACCATTAAGAAAGAATGAGGTAAGAGATGCAACTGTCACAAAAGGATGTATGAGATATACCGCTGATTTTGTGAAGTCATAGACACTTTGTATATCTCAATTTTGTAAAAGGAGATACAATTATTAAAATGCAAACATGCAAAGATAAATATGTCAATACATGCATGTGTATATTCACAAATGTGAAAATGCATTTGCATTTTCATATATATGTATACACACAAATCTGTTCAGATGTGAAAGTTTAAAAGGCCACATAAAAAACACAAAGCTCTGCCCTGGCCGGTTTGGCTCAGCGGTTAGAGCGTCGGCCTGCGGTCCTGAGAGACCCGGGTTCGGTTCCCGCTAAGGGCGCGTACCTCAGCTGCAGTTTGTCCCCGGCCCTGGTCGGTTGTGCGGGTGGCAGCCACTCGATGAGTTCCTTTCACGTCGATGTTTCTCTCTCTCTCTCTCTCTGTTTCTCTCTCTCCCTCCCACTCTACCTGAACAAAAAAAGGAAAAATGTCCTCGGGTGAGGATAAAAAAAAAACAAAAAAAACACAAAGTTCTGCAAGTGGGGGCAAGGAGCAGCTGGAGCAGGACTTTCACTTTTGGTACTTCTGCACTATAATTTGTTATAATAAACATTTTTTAGCAACTAAAAATAATAATAATATAGTCCCTCTAGTATTTAAGATGAATGCAAATCACCCTGGCTGATTTGGCTCAGTGGTTGGAGCATCAGCCCGCAGATCAATGAATCGTGGATTCAATTCTGGTCAAAGGCACGTACCTTGGTTACGGTTTGTCCCGGGCCCTGGTAAGGGTCATGTGGGAGGCAACCAGTCAATGTTTCTCTCTCACATCAATGTTTCTCTCTCCCTCCCTCCCATTCTATCTGAAGACAGAAAAATATCCTTGGGTGAGGAATTAAAAAAAAAAGATCAATGCAAACCAAATACCTAATTAATAATACAGGACAAGAAAAGACCAAGTATATATAGCAGTAGAAGAAAATTGAGAATCTAGAAATAAACCTATATATCTATGGTCAATTGATTTACAGAGGTGCCAAGATAATTTAATGGGGAAAGAATAGTCTCTTCAACAAATAGTACTGATACAATTATATTTATACATGTAAAGAAATGAAGTTGAACACCTACTTCACACCAATTTCAAATGGGTCAGAGACCTAAACATAGAAGCTAAAACAATGAAACTCTTAGAAGGAAATATAGGGGTAAATCTTTTCTTTTTGTTTTAGAAGTAAATCTTTATGATCTTGGCTTTGGTAGTGGATTTGTAGATATGACACCAAAAGCAGGAACAATAAAAAAAAAAAAAAAAAACAGAGATATACAAACTTTAACAAAATTAAAGTTCTGTGTACCAAAGAACAGAATCAAACAACTGAAAATATAACCAACAAAAAGGGAGAAAATATATCATATTTGCAAATCACATATCTGACAAAGGATATGTATCTATGTATCTAGAATATATAAAGAATTCCCACAACTCAACAATGCAAGGAAAATAATTTAAAAATTAACAAAGGATCTGTATAAACATACCCAAAAGATGTTCAATATCATTAGTTATTAGAAAAATACAAATTCAAACTACAATGAGATACCACTTCACACCCACTAGGATGGCTATAATTAAAAGTCAGGTAATAACAAGGGTTGACAAGAATGTGGAGAAATCAGAAACCCTGTACATTGCTGATGACAATATAAAATAGTACAGCTGTTGTGGAAAACAGTCTGGAAGTTCCTCAAAATGTTAAACATAAAGTTACCATAAGATCCAGCAATTCTACTCCTAGATATTTACTCACAAGAAATGAAAATATATGTCCACACATAAATTTGTATGTGAATGTTCATATCCATATTAGATAAAAAGTGGAAACAACACAAATATTTATCAACTGATGAATGAATAAGTAAAATGTGATATATCTATACAATGGAATATTATTTGGGCATAAAAAAAAGAATTAAGTACCAATACATGCTACAAAATGGATAAACCTATAGCCATTATGCTAGGTGAAATAAGCCAGACACAAAAGGCTACATACTAGATGATTTCACTTCTTTGAGATGTCCAGAATAAGCAAATCTCCAGAGACAAAAGGTAATTAGTGGATGCCTTGGACTTGGGGGGGCGAGGGGGATGAGGAGATTGGAGACTGACAATTAAAGGGTAAGAGGCATATGCATGTATGCATGAACAATGGACATGGACAACAAAGGTGGGGACAGGGCGGGGAGGGGGAATCAGTGGTGGAAAAAGAAGAAACATCTGTAACAAAAATTAATTAATAAAATAAAGGGTAAGAGGGTTTCTCTGGGGGTGATAAAATGTTCTAAAAATGATTGTGATAATGGTTGCACATATCTGTGACAACTCTAAAAACCACTGAATTGTACACTTTAAATGCGTGAATTGTACAGTATGTAAATCACATTTCAATAAAGCTGTTATAAAAGAGAACCAAAAATAAAAGGGAGCAGTCCAAAAAGGATGTCACCCAGCAAAAGCAAGATACACTAAGGAACATACACTTGTGTGTGTTCCTGAGGGTAGAAGCAGGATTTAGACAGAAGAACATCTCACATTTAGACAGAAGGTAATCTCTCACAGTGCTGGCTAGGCATGTAGGAATGAGACACAGACAGCCAGTGCCTGCAGTCCTAAATTCATGGTATGGGTTGAAAAGGTGAACTTGGATGGAGCTTGGACAGGAACTTCAAAGTCAGACAGAGGATTCAAACAATTGTGGGCCCTGCTGAAAGTTTTCAGGCCAGGAAAAAATATAAGCAGTGTTTTTGGAAGGTGACTCAGCAGTGTCATAGGAGCACACTGGAGCTGGGAGTGTGTCCCTAGTCATGAAGTGATAAGGGCCTGAGGCAGCAAGAGTGACATAAAAGAACTAGGTTTATCTTCTGCTGTCTCAGTGGTGAGGAACAAAGGACAGCATAGAGTTAGAGAAAAGGGAGTTCTGACCTTAAGTTAGTGGAAGAACTGGGAGGACGACAGAAAATGGCAAGCAAAAATAGAGAAACTATTTTGAGAAAATAGCAAATTAGCTTGATTGTAAATATAATATCCCAGATTATAAAAGGGAAATAACCCTTAAAATCCACTGGCTCACTCTCTCCTTTTTACAGCACAGCAACTAAAACCTGAAATGAATCAATGCTTTGGAAAGTCAGGCATAAACTCTATAGCACCGTCAATGCCCATTTCTTGCTCAGATCAGCTACACAGAGGACCAAGGTGGGAAGAGTGAGGCAACAGCAAGGCTGAGGTGGGATGTTTTTCCAGGCAGGTAGGGGCATGGAGCTGGCGCTCAAGAGTGAATTTGCATGGAAAGAATATTTGGGTGTCCCAAAAGTGTGCTGGAAGTGGCTTATAAGAGCTAATTTTTAAACTTTCAGGAATTCAGCAAGCTGGTTGACTTCACAGCCAGCTTAAACTTGGCCACTGACATTTTTTATTTTTTGAGACCTGACACTTTTTAAAATTCAAATACAACTGTTCTACAGCATAGCATAAATTAAAGATCATATATACATATCATATCAGAGACTTAGCTTAAAAAGCCACAGAAATCAGCAAATGCTGCAAGTCAGGGCCCTTTTTTGGGAGAAAAGCCAGTTGTTAAAACATGTACCAGAACACCAAGAGGCATCATTCCAGTCTCCCAGTGGACTCTCTGAGATGTACCAGTTCTCTGAGACGTGTCTGGAGGGAGGAGAGCACTGAGTGGTCCTAAGATCCATGTGGGTGTGAGTGAAACAGGCTGTTACCCTGGTAATGGTCACATTGTAAAGGGTCATGTGACCAGGAAGAACAGGTGCTGGCACACTTAGAAAGGAGGCTTTGGGGACAAGAGAAATCAGCCTGGCCAAAGACAACATAACTCCAATCCATGTTCC